CAATCAAACTTATAACAATGTTTGAATACGTTGTTTTGATTCTATTGTGTAATAACCTGAGTTTTATTGTTAAATCAAGAAAAAGTCCGATATATTTTATAAATGTGCTTTATTAACTCCATGTGCTTTTATACACAGATACTCTTATGTTCACAAAAAATACATGAAACTTAGTATATTTTCCTAGATGCTAATATCATCAATCTAACAAGGGGAGCACTAGAAGTGGTTATCGTGAAATTAGATGCCAATTTTTTTGGTGGTTTTATATGTCAAAAAAGTTGTTCCGTGTTTGGTCGTTTGTTCCAATAGGCCTTAGTTTTCAAGTTTTTAATTTTGAAAAAACACAGCTTTGTTGATGCACCGGAAAAGTCGTTCCGTTAAGTCTATTTGCAAGCGGCTTCAAGTGGCTCAGTGAGTTAGGTGCTTGCATCGTAACTCAAGGCATGCAGATTCGAATCCTGCGATCAGTAACTTTTTTTTGAATGTATTTTACATTGTTATATATTTTTGTATTTTATTTAATGTGTATTTAAAATTATATATAAGAAATATATAATATAAAGTTTTGAATATATCACTGAAAATTCTTAAAAATATATTTCTCAAACACTATTCGAATGTGTTGAATTTTAAATACAAATTTTAAAAAATAATCAAGTTTAGTAAGAATATGGGGCTGTGGGAACCAATTGCAGGACAAATAAGTATGCAGTAAACAAATTCGTGTAATGGATTGTCCAGACGTTTCGACTAGTTTATTTCAGTCATCATCAGTGAATCGCTAATTAAATTATACAAGTGATAGTTCATATTTCACTTTGGAAAATTGCAAATAAAACAAAAGAAAATGTATTACAATTCATCAACGTACCTTGAATTTGAATCTCTTCTATATTTACATTCAGTACACCGAGATATTGTTTGTGTCAGAGAATTTGCGTAACAGAGGAAATTCAAATTCTGGCTTACATTATAATTCCTATAATTAGTTCCATCTATGAGAAATTGAACTAACTGATTTTATTCAAAATTGAAAGATAAGAATCATCTAACAATTCAGTATCTTGCATAACATTTATGTTATTAGGCTTCAACTTAACATTTCAGAAGTCAATCGTTTAAAATAAATGTACTACAAAGTAGTTTTTAACAAAACGTTTCGGCTATATTTTAAACCCTTATCAATTGCATCTTAAATACTAATGTTTACAAAAGTGGTAGTCCCATATCAAACAATAAAAAAAAAAAAAAAGATAATAATCAGTATCAAATACAAGTCTTACTTGCTAGAACGTAAAATCGATACTTAATCGATACGTTTTGTTAAAAACTACTTTGTAGTACATTTATTTATTGCACAACATCCTGCACTGGCTCAATATTGCCGTTATTCCAATTCAACTGTAAATTTGAAAAGAGCCTGAGATGACATCCTCATATCTTCACTATAAAATAATTAGGTTCATGGTCAAGAATAGTAGAAGAATCAATATCAAGAGAATGCTCAGTATTAATGCAATGTTCAAAGATAACAGATTTGAGTTGTTTAGATTAGATAGAATATTGATGTTCATTAAGTCTAGTTTAATTATAGTTTTTAATTGCCTTTTAGTTTGGCCAACATAATTAGCACTGCAATTCAAATATGGGATGTTATAAACAACGTTTTTTCTGCTTTTTGTCAATGCATTATCTTTATGTGCTTTAATATATTTATTTAATTGTGACAGACTTCTATATGCTAGTCTAATTTGCTTGTTATGTATGTTAAGAAATTTATTGTTTAAGATGTTTGAATGTACATATGGAACCACAAAATAATGAATTGATTTGTCATTCTCTAAAATATCATTTTCACGGATCTCGCATGTATTGTTGAGTTTGTGAGAAAATAGTGATACAAGTCTTCTCTTGATAATTTTAAAAATGAATTGTATAAGATAATTGTTATTGATTAATATATTGATACATTCAATCAGATTTTTCTGGTGATATATTGGTTCAGATAATAAAATAGCTCGATCTACTAAGGAGTATATTGTACCTATTTTGTGTGAAAGTGGATTCTGTGATAAATAATTAAGGTACCTACCTGAGAATGTTGGTTTATGATACCAGTCACAAAGAACAACGTTGTTAATCAGGTTGATACGTAAGTCGAGAAAACCAATACCACTACTTGTCTGTATTTCATATGTAAATTGAAACCTCTGGTGAAAAGAATTCAATATAGAAATTGTTTCATTTATTTTATCATTTGGTAACGCCAATAGAATATCATCAACATATCTAAACTAAATAGATATAGGATAATTGATTCGGTCAAGAGCTTTGATTTCAATGTCCTGCATGGTTAAGTCAGCAATGATAGGGGAAAGTGGAGACCCCATGGGTACATCGAAGATTTGTTTATAAATAACATTGTTGAAAGTGAAGTATGTTGATGACATTACAAACTATATGGCTTTAATGAATTCATGTTAATTAATTTTTGTGTGTATTTTAATATGTTTCCACCTTTTAGATATACTGTCACAAACTAATTCCATAGGCACATTCGTAAATAATGATACAACATCTAAAGAGGCCAGTACAAAGTCACTTTCTAACTTGAGTCCTGTTAAAATATTATGTAATTCAAAACAATCCTTGACAAAAAAAGAAGAATTAGAGATACTCTTATGAAGAATTCTGTGTAGGTATAATGAGAACTTATGTAGTGGATTATCAATAGTTGAAACAATAATTCTACAAAGATAGTTAATTTTAGGGATTTTTGGAATTCCATATGCTTTGGGTAGTAAGGAATCACTTGCTCTCAACCAGGTTTTAGTATTGTCATCAATAAAACCTAGATCTTTCCATGTGTTCAATATGGATCTCAAATTGTTTTCTATGGTTTTAGTTGGATCTTTGTTAATTGTTATATATGTATTTTTGTCTAGAAATACATTTCCTATAGATTTTAAATGGTCAGATTTATTGACATCAACAGTAGAATTCCCTTTGTCAGAACGGGTAAAGATAATGTCAGGGTTGTTTTTACTAAAAACAGAAACATCCCTGGATTTTGTTAATAAATTCCTTTCAATATATGACAAAGGAGTATTGTCATTTATATATTGATTCAAATAAGTTGAGATACGATTCCTGATATTAGATTTAATTGTTGCGTTAAACTTTCTGACATTATTTTCAACATCTTTAATAGTTTCGATAGTTACAATTTTTTTGTTGTGTTTATTATTTAAAAAAAATAAAATTCATTTGTTATAATACATTCACAATTGTCATCAAACCTTTTCAATAACATGATTCGATTTGCATGATACGCTTCAAAATTGACTTCGGAAAGATGTGTATTTTCTACTGTAAATCAAATTTGTTTTCCACCAGACATTCGGAAAAATAAATGTTCATATGACATGGCGTCATTTATACAATGTTCCAATTGCAGAAAATTTCACTGTTTTTCGTGTTTTTATGATATACAGGGTGTCCCAGAATTGCCGTACAATCTCTCGTAGGCAGGTAGAAGGAGTAAAACTGAGTCGAAAAGTCCTGAACCATTTTTTTCTATTATTTATAATAAAGGAGTAATTATTGAGTAAATCA